ATTTATATTCATTATCGGTTGGTGATTGTAATAAAGATGGTATAATAGATATTTTTGTTGCCGATTCCTATTACAGTGGTGTAAGTGTTCTTCTCGGATTAGGTGACGGATCTTTTAAATATCAAACATGGTTTGCAGTTGGTAATAAACCAACATCAATAGCTGTTGGTGATTTTAATGAAGATAATAACTTAGATATTGTTGTTGGTAATAGTGGTAATAGTACAATAAGTGTACATTTAGGTTTTGGAAATGGATCATTTTCCACTGGAATAACACGTTCTACTGGAACTTCCACAACGAGTATCAATGTTGTTGATTTGAATAAAGATAAACGATTGGATATTGTTATTACTAATTTTGCTGATAATATTATGAGTATTTTTCTTGGTTTAGGCAATGGATCTTTCTTTGATCGAGTTAAATATTCAACTGGTTCTAACCCTATGTCAACTGTGATCACTGATTTCAACAATGATAGTCGATTAGATATTCTTCTTGTAGTTAATGGTGCTTCTCAAATGCATATTTATCTTGGTTCAATCAATGAAGCCTTTGTAAAGAAAATGTCACTTACAACTGGTAATGGTTCTCAACCAAAATCATTAATTATTGGTGATATCAACAATGATGAACAATTAGATTTATCTCGCTATTCTTTATCGATACAAAGACATTNGATATCAACAATGATGAACATTTAGATATTGTTGTGGCAAATTCAGGTACAAATACTATTGGTGTTTTTCTCGGATACGGAAATCTTTCTTTTACGAAACAAATGTTATATTCAAGTGATTATTCACCTCAATCTCTTGCTATGGGTGATTTTAATAATGATAATTTGATGGATATCACTACTGCTAATTATAACAATGATAATATTGATATATATTTTGGTTATGGAAATGGTACTTTCTATTTAAATAACATAACACTTGAAACTGGTTCACAAACGAAACCATACGCAATTGCTGTTGGTATGTTCAATAATGATACTTTCTTAGATATTATTGTCGTTAATTATGGGAGTAATAATGTTGGAATCTTTTTGGGATATGGTGATGGTTCGTTTATGGATATGAAAGTTTTTGCAATTGGTTATGGATCCCTTCCATTTTCTATTCTTCCTGGTCATTTTAATAATGATCAAATGTTGGATTTTGTAGTGGCCAATGAAGGAACTGATAATTTAAAGATTTTCTTACAAACGTGTTAATCGTCTTCATAGATGAAAGTTGTTTTATAGTGTACAAACAGTACTTCAAACATTGAACAGAGCAGAATTGTTCTTTGTTTCTTTTTGTCATAAAAATTTAAAAGAAAGAGATCGGTGATTTTCAATGTCTTTGTATCGATAAAGTATAGCGAGATAAATCTAATTAAATTGATTTAATTGTATTCTTTTGTTTTATATTTTGCAACATTTTGAAATGCAAAAAAGATAAAATTTTCAAGATAATTTCTTAATTTCATCTAGTTTTCATTATTTACAACAACCAATATTCTAAGTTTGTTCCTAAATAGACAAGGTATTACGGATTTTGAAAACATGTGAACCAGTTCGAATTGAAATACATTGACAAAAATGCTAATTGTAGGATGTCGAACTTTTAACTCAATTCTTTTTCAACTTAATCAATTGAGAATTCGAGATTAGAATGAAATGGTCAAATCGAAAAGAAGAAAAACTTATTGTCATAGTATATAGTTCTTGTTGACGAAACAAAATTGAAAGTTTTTAGGAAATTTTGTTATTGATTTTTTTCAATTAATCATCGATACATAACATTCATTTACTAAATCTTTGACACAAAATGAATATCGATCTCTTTCAACAATACTTGTTATTAAATTAGTAAGAAGTGAATCATTTCCATTAGTTATAATTGATGAATATATACTTCTGATGTTGATATCATAGAGTTTTCCATCTGATAAAAAAATATTTATAAATCATCACCAAGAGTCGAATCAAAAGTAGTTTCTAATTCAACAAAATCGTCACTATCAAAACAAACTAATAAATATGCTGAAAAGAAAGACATGATTGATAGTGAGAATGTTTTCTTCTTAAAAATGAGAACTGTTACTCAACGGTAAATGATAATGAAGAAGAAATTTACTGCTAAATCTTGAAATCTATTCTTCATTCGTTAATTACAAATATAAAATTTGATGAAAAAATAAAAAGTAAAAGTGATTTTGAATTTTAATGTGAAACATATTATTTCTTTTTATTTATTTGTATAATCAATATATGATTTCAAAAATATCTTTTTCTCAATTAGATTTTCTTTTTAGAAAAACAACATTTCAGTACATTAACTAAAGAAATATTTCAATTTATTTTCTTCGTTCACTGAAAATATAATTTTCTATGAGAAAATTGAATGTAATTTCATATGTTCTAATTATAAAAAAAAAAACTTTATAACTAAAGAATCACTACTAATAAAAACGTCGAATATTGTCTTTGATTTTCAAATAAATACAATTTCTTTAAGAGTCAATCTGGAAATTGATTATTTCTTAATTCTCTTTTTAGATTCAGTTTAAAAACTAAGTTTTATAGTCAAATAAAAACATTGAAATCTATGATAAAAAAGATCTTTAATTGTTTCTCA